CCGTGAGGTTCGCCAAAAGAACATTTAGTTAGTTTAATTCATTTAACGAAAGCTTCACCATTTTTGCTGTTTCCAAAACATAAATAAATGTTTTGTTTGGAGAAATCTCGACCGAACAGAACAAATAACGGTGATGAAATGCAGCAATGGTTTTCCCTCCGTCATTTTTGTGCTCAGTGGCCCTTGTTACGTTATCTGAGGTTGCAGATGGAGGGTGTTTAGAAGACTTGCAAGGGTTTGCATCATGGCAGTGTCTCAGTCAGACATCCGTGAAGGCTCTCTTAAGCACAGAGCATAACCGCTGCTCATTTGAAAGTCTAATTAGCAAAAGTGTCAGTTAAACAGCAGTTCATTCTTTTAATCAGAAAAATGCAATTAATCCACGAAACCAGACAAATTCCACTGTTCCCAGGACCAAGTGTGGCTGTTTCTTTGGCTATATACGAACATTGATCAACAAATATATTATTATTTAGCTGAATTTCTGTTTGCGTGTGGCATGGAGTGTCGGCTCTTGCTCCTCCATGACCGGTTTGGTGACACACACTGTTCTGTTGCAGGGAAGCATGTCCGTGGAAACAGAGGACTAGCAAACGCATGACTAGCGCTTCCTTTCTCCCGGCTCTATTGCATCATCTACCTCCAGGACTTCTCATAAGAAATGCAGTCTTTAGAATTGAAACGTCTCCTTGTGATTGTTCCACCCCGATCTGACAGTGCAGTAGTTTTTCATTATCATTACTTCTTAAATGTTGATAGACACTGATGGCATTCCATCCTACAGCTCAAAGAAGTGATCGGGGAAATGTTCGGCGGCGTGGGAGTTGACGGAGAGGCTGTGGGAGGATCAGAGGAAGTAACAGGGCTTGTTTTAAATAATCGCTGGCCTTTACACAAGGTTTATGCTATGGCTAGATCTTCTTTTCTTCCTCCATCGTCCTTCAGTTTAAACACTTTGCTTCGTGAAGGATTTCACCTCTGTTCTGAAAGTCAGCGGAAGTAAACATAATTGAAATAATAAAACAGCATCAATTTATAAACAGACACTCACACCGGTGCCTAATATATTTTTATACAGAAGGCACCGTGATATTTATAAATGCAAATGTCCACATTCCTTCCATTAGATATACTTTTATCTGATAGAACCGTTGCTGAGATTAAAAACATTTAGTTTGAGTTTTTAATCCGAAGTTACTTGTGACCATGGGCGTCAACTGGAGCTCACACATCTGACCGAACGAGTGGTGCTCCAAACAAAAAAAAGAGTTTTGCACTGAAACCAGGTGAACGACCAATCACAGTTGCTATTTCGATGTCGTGAATAGGACGTAAAAGAACCGCGGGGTGTCACTCATCCCACATTGTCATAGCGACTTCGTACAGGAAAGAAATATCGCTCCACAAATCCTCTTTTCTCCACGTTTGATGTTTTTGATTTAAGTTCTCTTTGAGATGTGGTGCAATATCTAATACAAAATGTAATTTTTACACAAATATAGGCATTTCCTTTTTATGTGTGCAATTTGGTTGTTGTAGAGTTTGGTTAAGTCGATGAGAAACGTGATTTCTGCGATTCCAGATCCTCTACAAAAGTGCTCAGTGTCACAACTACAAACATAACTTGTTCTTCCATCGGGAATCTTGTGTCACAGCAGCTTTGTTGCGAGACAGACCATTTACGAACGTGACACTTCTCCCAGAAGTCCTAGAATGGGTCGCATTGTGTGCTTTATGCATCGCGCGTGCTGGAGCTGTCGCTTTATTTGCTGTCTGAGATTTTCACTGTTCTAACCTTGACGCTCTGAAACTGCTCTAATTGTTTGATTCCTGCATCAAAACTCGATGTTGCATGTAAACACAGACTGTGTACTTGATGAACGGAGAGTGGCTTCATTGACAATGACGTTCTTTTAAAAGAGCTCGTATAGAGTGAGAGAGGCCAACCAGAAGCGAGATGCGAAGTGATCTGATGACCGTCAGACTGTCGAATGGTGATCAGTGAAAAGGCAGTGGAATATATAAAAGCATTTGTTTTGGTTAAAAGATTACATTTTCCCCACAGATCATCAAAATTTTCCTGCACCGGCTCATCAAATTTATTCATTTTGTATCTCTACAAAGGACTGACCAGGGATCTCCACTATTGTTAGATATTCAAGTATGCACAATCACTCTTTGGAAGGCTACTGTGATCAGCGTACGTTTTTAGAATTGCTGTGTATCACACTTGACCAAAAAGGGAGGAAGAAACAGAAAAGGAAAGACACCTCGTTTTGTTAAATTACAGTGACTGCACTCTTTTTGTTCAAAAAAGAAGTTTATTTTGGTGGACAGTATCTATTTTTTCAATTGCTGTTCAAATATGGCGGTGTTGGCCAGGTTGGTATTTCGTGTCGTGGCTGTTTGTTTATTCTATGGAGAGATGCATGAGGCTCTGAAAAGGCTCTAGTCAGAGAGAACAGGGTTTAGCTGAACCCTTAAAGAACAGATTTTGTTCTTTTTCCAGCAAAACTGGAGAACGTGTATCAGCAAAAACAGTGCCTAGCTCCTCCTCTCCGGCAATTCCAAGCTGTGTTTCAGGTGATGGAAGTATTCACTCCTCTAGCACTGTCTGAAGCGCGCTGAGCATCAGAAGAGCTCTTCGTTGATGTTCATCGTTCAAACAACTGCGGCCTGAAGCTGTCTTCTCCGTCATTTTTAGATGCAGCCGTGTGATCAGGTTTTAGTTGCCAGCTGATCAATAATGACATTTGTGGCCAACTATTATTGATGACATGGATTATTTGTTTGAGTCATAACAAAGTGATTCCCAGCTCTACGATGCTACGGTTCGTTCCTAATCCTGACACAAGGGCAGAGCCTTTTGTTCCAGCTCAGTTTATCGGCTTGAACACAGTGAAGACAAGACGGCAGCAGAGTTGGTGCTTGTAACCTTTAAATATGAAGCCTACTTCATTTGCCGTGATAAACCTGTGAGCAGAAGGGATCACCTGGAGCTCAGCTCAAGTTTTCCATGTTTCCCTTGTATTTCGGCAGATTGTGGTTGTCACCCTTCAGATGAAAGTGAGCGCAGACTGTTTGTGACCAACTCTGTCAAACCTAATTATGTGAGACGTGGTTTCTGATTCCCACATATTTACCAATGGCATATGGGATGCTGACACCGATGAGAGAGCCACACCCTGGACCTACATACAATCCTTCAATGTAACTGCGAACCAAACCACGACACGGCTTTGATCTTCTCGTCACTCTGTGCCACTTGTTTTTTTATGGATTTACCAAACTTAACTGTTTTTTTTTCTTGATGTTTTGTTGAGATTAATCCAAGGCTCGCTTATTTTTGAGGATGGAACAGACATGAGGGGTGTGGGAAAGTCCACTCTGCTTTCTATTTGAATCATTAGAAGAATGAACATTGTAGAGTTTGCCACACGTTTAACGCACCGATCACCGATGTAGATGAGCGATGTTCTGTTCAACAAATTGCCGCTCTACTGGGATTTACACGCACAACCATCTCTAGGATTCACAGAGAACTGTCGGAAAGAAAGAAAATCTCCAGTGAGCGGCAGTTCTGTGGGAGCAGAGGTCAGAGGAGACTGGTTCGAGCTGATGGAAAGGCAGTAGTTACAGTCGAGGTCTGCAGAAGAGCATCTCTGAACACACAACACGTTGATCCTTGAGGCGGACGGGCTCCAGCAGCAGAAGACCACACAGGGTCCCGCTCAAGCAGCTGAGAACAGGTAATTGACCATCTGAATCCCATTGAACGCTCCATGTTTTAAAGCTGGAATCATCTCATTCACTGTACTCAAATGTTCTCCACCGTCACCAGATCTCGATCCAGTAGAGCAGCTTTGGGATTTGGTGGAACAGGAGCATGGATCATGGAAATGTGCAGTCGACAAATCTGCAGCAGCTGGGGGATGCTCTCGTGTCGATACAGAGCAATCTCTCTGAGGAACGTTTCCAGAACCTTCCAGAATCTCTGCCACGAAGGATCAGAGCACTTCTGAAGATAAAAGGGTCCAGCCTGGTACTAGCAAAAAATACCTTATAAAGTGGCCGGTGAGCGTATGACCATATAATAATCAGACTCGTATTGTTAAGATCAGTTGGAGCAGTTCGTTCAAACTATTGCATTGATAAATTCACAGATAAGCTCAGTAATGTTCTCTGATTGCTCTCAGTTAAGGAGAGCAGATGTTTCGCTGATGCTCATTTTGGCAAAAGTGGGAAAAGGGATGAAAAAAAGGACTTTTATCTTGACAAAGGATAATTTCTAAATAATGCATTCTGACAAATGCAGCCGAGATGGCAGTGGCAACTAATCTGGCAGAAATAATCCACGCCCAGTGTTTCCTCAGTGGTTGGTATTTGAGAAGTTAGTCCAGAAGCTGTTTACTACCTCAAAAAATACATTTAAGCATTAAGAAGTATTTAAAAAGGCACAGTTACCTTATAATTAAAGTTTTTTTTTGTTGTGAGAACTTGAACTTGTGTCGAATTGATGTTTTATGAGTCATTGATTATTTTATTTACAATATAATGGAATATATTGTGATGTGTCGTATCATGACGTGTGATGCATATCGTATCGCCAGATTTTTGACGTGTAGTGATAAAAAAACATGTGAAGTATATCTAAACAATTGATTATTTCCGTCACAAAGAAACAAATCATGTTCTTTGAAGAAAAGAGTAAAAAATGCAGAATTTCCTGCCAGAATGTGCTCAAGGAGCAAATGGAGCGTTGAGATTTACATACCAAGGAGCAACACAAAGGCATTCTTTCCAGTGTCGTTTAGCCGTTTGTGTCACATGATCTCATGTTTGACGGCAGATTTAATGCACGTTGCTGATGAATGGATGAGGTAACCCTGTTAAAAGCTGTTGGTTTTTTTACATTTACATTTATGCATTTACATTTATGCATTTGGCAGACGCTTTTATCCAAAGCGACTTTAAATGAACATATTTTTTCTGTTAGTTCTTGCTTTCCCTGGGATATGAACCCACAACCTTTGCGTTGTTAGCGCAAAGCTCTACCAACTGAGCCACAGGAAAGCCTCAGGAGTCTCAGGAGTGATCCTAGATCTTTGGCAGTATGTGAAGCAAAAGAGCAGAAAGCATCCCCGCAGCCTGCAGGTGTCGTACGGCCTCACTACAGGAAAGAGATATGGAGCTACTGCTGTCCAACTCATCTTTTAGAGCTCGGAGTTTGCTTAGTTTTCAGATTCCGAATGGGATGCTGGAACCTGTAGAAGGAGTGTTCAGATGAATGAAGATTTCCAAAGCTTTTCTTTAGAATGAATAGTGGTGATCGACTGAATGGATTAAACTTTTTCCTCAATAAAGAACGTGAGCTTAAAGATAAGGCTTGAATATCACACAGCGAGCCGACACTCCTCTCTCTCCTCTACGAGCGTGCTTTCAATGATTTCCATTCGAGCAATCTTCTCGTGCCATCATTATGGTTTTAGAAACAGATCAGATTTTTGTAAATGTAAATCAACCTTTGATCTTAGTCTTTAAAAAAAGTTCTGGGTAAATATCTTCTACATTTATTCCAGTGTGCCCTTTATTTAGCTAATTTCCACTGGCTCTGGATTGTTCTAGTAAGTAGCAACTGTGCAGAAATATTTTAGAACCCCATCTTTTAGATCCTGAACATCGTTTTTTTCATCGTGCTATGCGTAGACACAAAGTCGTGAGAGTTCGCTGTAAGCAGCTTTCAATGGTGACTCTGGATTTCTCCTCATTGTTCTGACTCGAAGCGTCACTCAGAACGGCCACAGGCTAGAAAAAGACCGGAATGGGTAAAACTTTTTAATATCTCAGTCAAAGAATTTGAGACAGACTGCAGATGTGAGGTCATTTTGACTTTCCTGATGTGATTTGAGCAGACGTTTTGTGCTGAGTGTGCTGTGACCTGAAGAGCTCCCTTTCTGCCGGATCATATGAGTTCAACCCTCCTTTTAATGTTTTTCCTCGAGCCAATTTCACCCAGTTATTTACTCCGTAGCTGAAATTAAATCCTCCAATCTAATGTGGGGGGAAGACATCGGTATAGTAGCAACAACTGACACAAATAATGACAAAACTAAAGATTATTCCTACGACATAAAAGTGTTTGAGCAAACCAATTCTGAGCAAACCCGGAGTCACGTAACGAGAATACGTCTGGAGGTGTGAACTACAGCAACTTTGGGGAGAAACCGTGCCTTTCCAGAAATAGCTCTCATAGGATCTGCCAGAAGGAATTGTTAACTTACATAAAGCTGGAAAGTTATTACAAAGGTAAAAAACTCGTTGAATCTGATCATGGACACGAATGAGGAGTGTTTCCAGAAATAGCGGTAAAACAGAAACTGGCAAATAATTTAGAAAATACATTAAATAATTGTTGAAGTCTGTGTCTTGGTGTGTCTTTCTTCGCCTGCTAGTCACCATTCTGTCGCTTTCTCTGTGTAATTGTTTCAAGATGGAGCCGGGGATGCTCTTTCTCGATACGAGCTTTACTTTTCGTTTCTTGTTTTTTTTTTTGCAGCTTTGTGTGGTTTGTTGGAGTACGCTTGTGTTTAGCAACATGTGAAAGGAAAAGTTTCCAACCCCGAGGCGTGTTGTTTCTGGTATTTTAAAGATATTCACAACAGATATTTTCTCCAGTAAGCTGCACACAAATGAGACAGCACCAACATCAAGGCATCAATTATTTTTCTCCACTTAAGTATTTGCAAAAAAATAAATAAAAAAAACAGCACCACTTCTGGCACAGAAAGAGCGTGTCCTACTGCAAAGTATGGTGGAGGAAACATCATGCTTTGCTGCATCGGGGGCCTGGCCAGCTTGCAGTAACTGAGGGAAAGATTCCCAAATCCATGATAGAATTCCTCAGAATGACGGTGAACACCAGAAACACCAGAGCAAGTACACAACAATGTACTCGTTGGAGGGCGCACGTCAGAGTCCTTGAAACAGGAAGCAGTGCTGCCAAGGGGGTGTTCAACCAGTTGGTAACTCTCGGGGTTCACTCACTTTCTTCCATTGAATGGAAATAAAGAAATTAGTCATTAAGTCTGACTCGACTCTGTCTGTAAGTGTTTGGAAATGTTTCAATAGAAAGCTAAAAGACGCCTGTGCAGTATCTTTGTTTGGGTGGTTTAGTATTAACTGTGTATAGTTGTGTTCAGCACACTGCGAGGGCCTGTATGAAAACTGCGATGTCATTGCACAACATGTTGCTGGCAAGTTTTGTGTGTGTGTGTGTGTGTGTGTGCGGGTGCTTTCTGCAGAGATAGTGTTCTGTTCAAGTGACTCAGAGGCTCTTTACTGCTCTGTTTCTCTGGCAGCACGTTGAAACAGAGCTGAGTTTGTGCCAATTTTACAAACAAATCCAGATTTTTGATTCACAAACGATCCACTTTGAGCATAAGTGTGATTAATACATAAATATATTCTCACAAATGTGTCGAGGGTGATGTCCAGATAAGAGTGATCATTCGAAAGCACTTGTGAGAAAGTCGATATTTAAATCATGTGAGTTTTTTTGTCGATATACGCACTGGGTTTCGCTCCAATCATTTTTGCACTTTTATTTGTAATTTGAAAATTTGTGAAGGGACATTAAATGCAATTGAAGTTAGTGTCATTAATCAGACCAATGGGGACTCACCGGAACAATTGACATTTGTACAAAACGGGCTAATGAAGCACTTCGTTGCGCAGGGTAGAAATTTGCATACCACACCTATACGGGGTGCATGTGAGCCCAGGTGGTTTCCAAGGCGCCAACCCGAAAATAACACCGCCAAATCCGCGGTGCATGGCAAGGGACAAACGTTTCTGTTCCGTATGTCAAGTGATAAACTATGGGAACCCCTCAAAAAGGCCATGCCCAAGGTCCTTCTATACAGGCTGGCGCTAAACTGAGGAATAAGAGAATGTGTTTATTTCCAATCAAGCTTCCTTTTCAATCGAGAAGTTCCCAAAGAGAGTGGTCCGTGTTCTGCATTTGACACGAAAGGGAACACATAACAATCTCTCAGCGGATTGTCGAGAGGGATATGTGGATAACCATTTGCTCTGGAGCACTTTTAGTTATTAAGACTTCTCTGTTTGCATCGGCACTGATTCTGCGAAGGACTACAGGATCAGGCATTTGCTAAGTGCTGCCCAAGGGCTAGCATAACCTGAGAAAGAACGACCCGGTCACAGACGAGCGGAAACTAAGAGCTGAAACACATTAGCAAACGTTCAGACAAAAACCTGCTTGGGTTCAGAGCTTTCATAGATTTATGCGTCGCATCTCCTTTTAATGATTGTTTTTGTTATTATTCCTCGTTTTAAAAGCAGGGCAAATGAAAACGTTTCTAGCAACAGAATATTAATTGTGGTGAGCCAATCAAAATAAAGGGGATGTGGAACTGGGTTGGTGGGGGGTCTTTTCAGGTGTAAACATTGGCACCAAAAGTTGTCCATACAGAATCCGGATCAGGCATCGGCTTCGTGTGAAAGAACAACAATGTTTAAGATTGGAGGTGGTTTTTCTGCGGGTTAGCAAAGGTGTATTCATCCTCACACAAGGTCAGAATCCTCCTCTGCTGCGTGTTATTACTGTACGCTGAGTTCATCGCCCACAGACTCCTGCACGCGGCATGCATGGCTGTGGCATTATGAAACGCCTAGCAGGTGGTTGCAGGGAGGGAAGGATTCCTGGCTCCAGCTCTCAAAACTGAAGAAAAAAAAAACAAGTGAGAGTGACCGCAGCATTAGATGCATTTGTGATGGAAAATAAAAAATAATATACAGTACTCTTGCTCTTCCGAGATCGAGTGATGATCCTGGTGGAGCAGGGAAATGGCTCTCTGCAGGTCTGGATCAGCTTCCACTCGGCTCTGACTGGGATGTGGCCTGGTTTTTAATAATCTTTGATTCCGGTGACGGTTGGTATGAGTTTATCAACCAGCAGAATTGTGAAAGCCCATCTGTTACATTGTGCTTGTTAACGGTGAAAGTTTGAACCATTCATCGCTGTTTAATCACCTGTAAACTTGCCATTTTTGTACTTCTAGAACACAAGTGATGAAAGGTGGTTCCTTTTATGAAATGTACACATCACCACTAACATTTCAAAGCCTGTGTCACTTGCTTAGTTCCATCCGAGCGCCACAAACTTGACATTAAAAAGCATGAATTTGAACTTTTTAAAATCATAATCACTAGGAACAAAGGACTACAGCTCTTTGGATGAATTCAAGCTAGTTTCATGAGTTTTATGAAACAATTTGAGCCGTTTTGATTGAACTAAGATAGGAGACGGAAAACAGGGAGCTTTTGTGGAGTTGTGTACATGTGTGATGTAAGCCAGTGTAAGAGTTCCTTTAAATGCAGACCTTTGCATCACTAGAGGAGCTTCCTACACTGTGTTTTATTATGGGTCAGTGGTTAAAATGTGAGGAGCTCCTCCGAGGACATATGTGCCATCTGTTTGAAGTATGGGAAGCGCTGTCCTTTGCCATCCTGCCCAATGTCAGGGCTTCACTACTTCTTGTTTTCTGTCTCCTGGAATTAACTGAACGTTTAAAAAACAAGTAAAGAGTAATGTTCAAGTCCTTTTTCCATGTCATCTCAAAACCGCTGCCAAATCAATGAAAATATTGTAATCCTTAACTCATCACCACTGATGTCATTCATTTTTAGACTCTTTGGGGTACATTTAAGTTTACATATGCATATTTTTATATTAAACATGTTTTGAAACGTGTAGTTATTGATGTTTCTAATTGTATCTTGTTTTGTTTACCGTAATTTGTGTTTTCTGTACGTAAACCATAGACAGTAAAGAAATCTGGATGACGTGACACCACCTACTGCCCTCGCCTCCGAACTGTCCTGGGTGCTGCCATTGACACATGCAACTTCCTGTTAAGGACGGAACCGTCGTGGTGTCTGGCTCTCACACGCAGCTCTATATACGACTTATTTTCTAATTCTAAACATTTCTCTGGCGGCGTAAATGATCTTTCTCACGACGTGATGCCAACGGTCAGTCCGCTCTGTTCTGTGT